CATTTAATGCCAGCAAACAACAGACATTTTGTTATGAGTCCCCTCATCCTCACATCATTAACAAGCGTTAACAGGAGCTGTTAGTCTCTACAATTTAGCAGCTGGCAGGACTGATGTGAGAACTCCAAAGCCATCACACTGTCTCCAGTCATTTCCTTTGAGTGACGTATCTTGGTCTGTTTTATGGCCCCAGATGAAAGTTGGGGCAGCACTTTCCCCTCTTTGAACGTGTCTGTATGTGCGTGTGGACACACCCGTGCCCACAAAGAGGGGAAACACAGAGCCTACAACTCCTGTTCTGCTGCTTCAGTTTGGCTCCTGCAAGGAGTTAGATCCCCTCAGAGACCAAACCCACAACCCTTCCACACCTGCAGCACTCCTTCCACTGACGCACCTCCGTGTTTCTATTTGGGAGTTAGAACTCTGACAGTCCCAAGAAATAAGAACTAATTGTTTGTTCCTAATGACTATCAGATTAATCGGGGTATTTAGAGGAAACATGAGTCTAGCAAAACATAATATATTTTATGGAAATGCTTCAGTGTGGATTGAACTCCTGCTGGTGGTGTGTGTGCTGCAGACCATACACATGTGGAATGGGAGCTATTTACCCTCACCTACCACAGTGAGTAAGAACAAGCAGGGGATGGCCATGTCCCAGTGCTAACAAGGACATGAGAAAGTGTCTCAGAGCAGCCCCAGCTGCCCGTGGTAGAAAGCAGAAATATGGCTCTGGCAACCCCTGGGACCACTTATTTCCTGATCTGGGTGTTTGATGAGACGTAATTGCCATAGACTATTTGAATATACCAATTTGCTTTAAATCCATTGCAAAAAGCCCTCTGAAACAACCTTGGAAGTTTGCAGACCAGAAAACTGTACAAAATCCATCAGATGTTAAAAGAAGTTACAATTCTGACTGCATATCCTGAACATTCCCATCTGAGCCCTGCACAAAGTTACGCAAGCACTTGGGACCAAACACTAGAATCCAGCAAAGATTTATGTCCACAGGGGAACATTATTTCTTGTCCTTGACAGTACTGAGCTTTATACAGTATCCTGCAAATAAATCATATCTGCTGCTTCTGGACCACAGTTGTCAAGCTTGGCTGTAGGAATAGGCAGGACACAAAAGCTGGAATTAAGCCCCCGGAAAAAGAAAAACCAGCACAGTGAGGGGTGATGGGGTTTGTTAACTGGTTTCTATTTGCTTCAGCATCAGTTGGGAGAGCAATATACTCACATTAAGATAAAAAAAAAAAAAATCTCCCAGATTACACAGGGATCTTATATATTGCTTCCATATGATCAGTGGTTCTAATTAAGCTTCCAGTCTGGAAATCTGTTGTGACCACAGCTTTTGCAGCCTATTCTGTACTATTTTGAAAAAAAAAAAAAAAAAGAGATGACAACATTTTGTGGCACTATTTTAAAATGTTTCTGTCTTTTCAAGTTTGTCCTCACATAGTACACAAGAGATTTCTGTTAATTAGAATGAAGATAAGTGAAGTGAAAAAGGCTATGAAGGATATTATTCATGTTAAACACAATTAAAATCTGTTGTTCTGAGTTCATCTGTATTAACATTTTATGAGTTTGGGGGTTTGGTTGTGCTGGATTTTTGGGTTAAAGAAAACCACACACACACACACACACACAAAACAAACAAAAAAACTCCCCAGTTCACAACTCTGTCTTGTTTAAAATTGACTGTGCTTGGAAGAGCACTGGGTGAGCCCAGAACAACTTCCCAGTGTGTGATCAAAGAGTTTAGCACAGGAATAATGCTTTAGAGACTCAGTAAGACAGAGAGAATACTGCTACAATATCTGCTGCCCTTGGTACGTGGCAGATGTGTTGTTCGTGTCACTTCCTGAACGATTTTTCGGTAAGAATTGCTTGTTAAATCAGAAACATGTATGTTGGAACCAATTAGCTTAATTGTGTCTCGTCAGCAAGCACTGGTGAGCACAAACATTTGTAACACACTCCAGTATTGCCACTTTAAAACGTGTCTTAGATAAAATCCTGGCCTGCCGAAGCCAACGAGTTGTGCATTTCTCAGGAACGGGACTTCACATACCAAATTCCAAACTTATCAGGCATAGAGCCATAAGAGATAAGGAAAAAATGATGAGTCTTGCTGTAATTTTCCAAACCCTTGGTGCTTTGCTTTCACCAGATGGGACGGTGCTGTTCGTGGAGGGCTGCAAGGGGCTAAACCCTCCCTGTGTTGAACTGCAGAGGCTTTTCTTCCAAAGCACGGAGCCAGAGGGGCCCTTTGCACAGCAGGACATCCCAAACCCTGGGTACACATGTGACAGTTCCAGGAAAACAGGCCTAAGCTTCCTCACCCAGGCCAATTACTTAATGAAAACTACACAGCTTATCATCACCACGGTCCCTCGAGAGCCAGGCAGGCTTTTCATGTGCCTAATCCCTCATGTGCTCAACTTCAGAATATGTATAACCCATTTAATGAAGCTTGAAGCTGTGTCTGTTCTGTATGTAACATTTATCCAGCACTGGGAGGACAGAGTCACAATGTATTTGCAGTATAGATTCTCCTCTTGCTGCATTTGTACCTCATGGTACCTTGGAAGCAATAAAACATGAGGATAGGGTCTTTATCTGGACCAAACACAAAGTAAACTCCACCAAGTACAATCTAAACACAAAAATCTCTTTTCACAATCATCAAGAATGTGTTTGAAAGAATGTCAAACAGATGCCCCAAGAAAATTACTTCCCCTGCCTCTTTTCTCATCCCAAACCCTTATTATTACTTTTTGACTGATTTTTCTTGGCTCTTATACACTCTCATGCTGATCGTCTTAGGTGGGCTCTATACAACCTTCCCAGCTTTCTTTTATCCCTCTAGTCTTCCTGCCAATAAATTACTTTTATGAAAGATTTCTTTTTTATTTCATAACCATTTTCTCTTGATCCAAAATGAACTATAACTCAGTGGTTGGGTGCTTTGTTTTTTAATGCAGCACTTGGTCTGCCAAATGCCTTAAAAATGTATTTCAGCTTCTCTGTTTGTTTGAAAGCTGCTTCTTCCAAGAAGGCTAAGAATAATGTGGTTACCATAGTTTCCTTATCCACCACCAATAAAAGGCAACTTGGAATACAATAAAACAAAGACAAGACTACTCAAGATGTGAGTGAATGACTGAACACTGAAATCTTCACCCCACGTCACTCCCAGCACTACAGAAAATACTCAAGTCTAATCAATTCCCAGCTTTTGGTCCAGCAGGGAAGATGAGGATAAGCCTGTCTGGCTACCAGCTATTTGAGATATTTCAGTTCCAACACTTAAAATGCCTGTTCTTGTAAAATTCCTGCCTCACAGATTTAGTATTTTGCTGCAGAGTTTTTGTGTTTTACTGTAATCTCTTGTTCTGGGAAGCAATTGTGTAGGCAGCACTTTGCTAAGGCTCACTGAAGTTAAGTGATGGATTAATTACCCGTAGGAACCAGTCAGCAAAGTAAATAATGTACTGTTTGTTCTTACAGTTTTGTTGGCTCCTGAACAGGCAAGATTCTAGGGAACAAGCCAAAAATAATCTTTTTTCTTTCAGTCAACTGGCCAACAAAACCCCACATACGCTTCAAAGATTATAAAAATTACACCTGCTTTGGACACATCCATTTGCCTTCCTGATTAAAAGTGATGGAATTTAACTCTAATAAAATGAACTTCTAAGAAAAGAAAGAAAAACAGTTGTTCTCAATAATAATGTATAATGAAAGAGAAAAGCATGCATGATGGATGCACAGACCCGCTGTCTGTGGGGATATACCTGTGATGATATATCCCACATGCATGATGGACATACAGACTCACCAACAAGCTTATTTTTTCCCTGATTTTAAAGAGTTGTGAAGATTTTCTTCAAAAAAAGGTTAAACCAAAAAGTTCTGCCAGAGATATAAGCAACAGGGGAAGAAAATAAAGGAACTCCCTTCCTTACCCCAGGCACCCGGGGCTGTAGGCAGGGATTCTGAGCACCAGGAGCTGGAAAACTGCTGAAAGAGTATTTCCTTTTGCTGTTTTTGAAGAAAAGCTGGTATCCTCACTGTGCAGCTCTCTGGAGCTTTTTCCAGACCCCAGAAGCTGCACCGAGAATCATCACTGGGTGCATCAAACATATACACAGAGCCTCAGACCACATAATTTCAGTTGTAGTTTAGACACAAGACAATATAATACATCTTGTGTTCTTGCCTTCTTATCCTGGGAAGCTCATGCAAAGGTAACAGAGAGAAAGAAGGTGCAGGAGTGCAAGAGATCACTCACATGGTGAACACGCTCCACTCTTTCAATGCAAATTCACCTCACTGAAAAAGCATTCTGTGTATAAGGGGCTGCCAGTTCTAATGAAAAGGGGAAAAAATGGTATTTTTGCAGAAAAAAAAATCTTAGATCCTGTTAGCATGTTGCTTATTGCATCAGGTAAACCAAGTGGCACATTTTTAAATTGCTGATGTCAAGTTAATAATTGTCAGCACTATAAAAGAAAATAGCTAAAAGCAGCAACTAAAAAGGTAGGTTGTTCATATCCCTGGAGTGAATTTACTGGGGAGCAGGAAAAAGCAGCGGAGACCAAACCTATGTTAAACTTTGCACCCTTCTGACCAACCAGTAAGAGAGAACGTAGAACAGGGTTTTTTTCAACATTTCCCTTATGCCTTCAGTGCACCACATTCCAAGTGTCACACCAGCCCTGGCCAAGCTGCTCATCAACAGTTTAAACCTTCTCATCCAGAAACACCCAAGAGCAGAGTTTCCTGCTCAGGACTGGTGGCTCTGCTTTCCTTCAGGGAGAGCACCCTGATGGAAGGTTACCCAGAGGGGTTCCCACAGTAAATGGCACTGGAACCCCCATCCACTTTGCCATTACCAGTTGGGCTGTTGACCTTTGGGTGTTTAACAGCAAGAACCAGCCTCCCTCCTTACCCTGCCCGTGGGAACCCCAGCAGCACCGTACCTCGTTGATGGCCAGCTGCTCCCCGCCGCCCCCGGGGTGGCCGTAGCGGTGGTTGGAGCTCCGGAAATCCTCGTACAGGTCCTCCTCGCTCCCCACATCGTCCGTCAGAGCTGTCTTATCCAGGGCCCCGTCAGCGATCACTGCAACAACAACAGGGACACATTGATATGGGGCACGAGGTCCCCAGCAGCACCGCCCCGTCACTGTGAGCTTACTGGGGCACTGTAACACAGCACAGGGGGGAAAGAGACAATGGAACTATAGAGGTAATTTCAGGGCACAATTACAGCCCCGAGGATTCCCCATTTTTCCTGAGCATTTTTCTCCATTTGTGTTTTGCTACCACAAATGACTGTGCCTTTTTGTAGAGCAGAGAGTATGATTTAAAATAATTCAACAACTGCTGCATGTTGCAAAGAAAAGATCAAGTAAGAATAAGGAAACAGGGTCTTGAAAAAAGGCACAGGGCAATGATGACATGAATATGATTTCATCAGGACACTGACATGTTGACAGGAAACTGGACTAGGTAACAAACTCATGTCTGCCACTTCATACTTTGATGATCATGATCTACCAAATTCCATCAGGCCAAAGAAACTCTCACCCTTTGGGAAAAATGTTCATGCATTTCTGTTGCCTAAAGGGTGTTGGCTCCAGAATTATCCATTATTACCACAGGAGGGCCATTCTGCTCAGCACAGCCCCGAACAGACTACAGATAACGGAGGGTGTACAGTCTGTAGCTAGAACAAGCACTGAAGTCTCAAGATATAAGTATAAACCTGAGGGAAATAAAATTATGGCATTTATACTCCTTGGCACTTCATCTGTTTTACTGCCATGAACATTTTCCTGAAATCTCCTCAAAGTATTAGCAAATACCCTTCAGTGTTATGCAGACCAATCATTCTTCCCATCCCTGGACAGGTAACTGAGCATAAACTTTCTGTTCTCAAAATCTGAAAAATGTCAGTGATTAAAGAAAACATTTGCTGACATTCATCTGGATTAGGAACTGTTGGGGCAACAGTTTCCATGACAAAGACTGAAGATGAAGTGAAAACAGACATTGTTATCAGCCCTCCTGGGGACAGTCTTTTCTGTCCAAGTTACACACAATGTCACACTCAAAATTTTCATCTGCAGAACAGGTGAAAAAACCACTTTGAGCTTGACCTTGTAGAGCTTGGATAGGAAAAGCACTGCTCTGAGTCTGGGGACACAGAAACCTGCTCTTGAGCCCTCATTTCATTCCACAGTGCAAGTGCATCACGTGAACCTAATTGTGCCAATGGGCCAAAAAAAAAGTGACTAATGATTCATTAGCTTATTATTACCTGAAGGCAAAGCTCCTCAGTAATACAGAATAAACTGCTGTCAGAGGTTACAGCCACACCTGCAGAGCTCATGCTTATCAAAGCTTTCAATACATGGGATGGTTTGCTAAGGCTGTGCCACCTGGTTACTCCTAGTAACAGTGAGGTGTAAATTCAGTGTAGCAGCTCTCAGTTCAGTGCAGTTACTTGACATCAAAATGATGAGTATGAGCTATTTTTAAACTAAATACTTGCCTATTTTTGTTTTGAACTCAATAAATACACACAACATAGCAAAGATGGATTAATTGTCTAAACCTGGAACTCCACTCACTACTGATGGCAATTCAGGACATGGAGGTGCATATGAGCTGATGATTAAAGCAGAATTTTCTGTGCAAGTGTGGAACTACCCAACCATTCAACTTAAAGTGACATTTCACCAAAAAATGAAGCATTCTCCTAGCTTTGCTCTGACACATCGCATCATTCATTATACAGAAGTTCTGTACTGAATATGTGCCAGTAGTATAGATTGCATATAAAGCAGTTCTGGGGCTAAGGCCTAGTCCATTAATATAAAACCCAAAACCAGCTGGAATGCCACTGATATTACAATTTCATGCAGAGTTACCATGGTTTGCACTTAAATTTATGTTTTTGAAGACCATTAGAGTATCACTTTTTGCTCATACACTGTCTAAAAAACATTTGTCTGATAGTAATGAACAACTTTCAGTGTGTTAGTGCAGCAAGAGAAACAAATTAGAAATGTTTTTCAAGAACAAATAAAAATAAATCATTTATAAGAAGGAAGTCAGCAGTCACTTAATTCAAAACTTCCTTTGCAACCTTCTGATCTCATTCTTTTCCCTTATTTTACACATGGTTTCATTACTTTTGCCTTATGCATCTTTTGCTATTTTCACTGCTGATGGTAATTTTCAGCTTGAAAAATGTTCACTGACATCTTTAAAGCTTTTGTTTTTTTGCCCCCACATTTTCCTATTTGTTCTCGGGTCTGTGCTTAGATGAAAAAGCGAAAGCTCCAGGGAGATATTTATCTGTGTTACTTAAAATGCTCTATACCTCCACTAAGTGCCTTGAAAGCTGTGCCTGCTTTTACTAGAGATCTGTTTTTCTTCTCTGATCTTACCAAGCTCATCAATTCTCTGCAGTCCCAAGACCTGCTGCTGTGTTTAGGATTAGTTTTCCCCGACAGAAAAGTCCTGATGGATGTACTGCCCCAAAAACACAGTTCACAGGCAGGAGGCAGCTCTCAAACCTTGAGGAAGAGTGGCCTGAGAAAGCCATTACACGTTTTCCCAAAATAACTAATGCTGCAGGGAAGAATTAAACTAGTGAAAAGTAAGAATTTGTCCTGAAGTAGCTTACACGGAAGGCATGACCACAGAGAAATAAATAAATAAAGCAGTAGTCTGGAATGGTGACCCAATGCACTAGAAAACCATCAAGGAAGTAGGAGAATGAAGGCTTTTAACATAGGTACTGACTTAACATGCACAGCATAAACTAGGTCAAGTAGAAGAGAAGCAAGCACTATACAAAAATCTCAAAAGACAAGTTAGCAGAGATTTCTGAAATAGTCTATCAGCTTCCTCAAGAGCACAGCACTGGGTGGACAGACTACTATTAAACTGCACAGCAGCTGACCCTGATGCCTCATTCCACTGGTACAGTCAAGTCTGGCCTCTCCATGTCCCTCTGCAACTGGTCTGACCTGTCCCTGGCAATCAGGACCAGTGTTCTGTCAAAAAGTAAAGCCATATATCAATTAGCTCAGGCAGACTTCTCCATATTTTATACCTCTATCCTGATAAATCTCACTATGGCAAGAAATCCCATACAAAGGAGCAGAGGGAAGGCACACCACCAACATTTAGTACAACAAATGCTGTACAAGTGTTAAAACTCTGCTTTATACTGTTGCTAGTCCAAGCCCAAGCTCAGGATTTGTGTCATTACTGTACAAAAGCAGATGGATAACTCTAGCAATAGCAGCCCCTGAAAGAATACCACATGAACCCTCTTTTATGCATCCATACAAATAATAAGGTGTCAAGAACTGAGTCCATGAGGAAATATCTTGAGGTATGAAGCAGCAAAACTCATACAAAACACAGCACTGAAACCAGCACCTGGCTCAGGTGATCTGAGTCCAAGTGCCTGAGCAGACAGCACAGAGGGTACATGCAAGGACAGTGACAAAAACAAAATGAAAGAGCTCGACACAAATTTAATGGAGCTTGATCAAGATGGTCCAGGAGAAGGAGGCATTTGGGTTCCACCTTTGGGATGCAGGTACAAGCAGGCAGCAGTGGGAAGGGTCCTGGCGGGGCTCAGCTTGTGCCCCCACCTTGCTGAAAGGTGGTGCCAAGCACCTCTAAAAGAACAGTTACAGAGCTCTCCATCCCATCAGGAGGCCACTGGAGCCTTTATCAGCTCTGTGGCTTCACACAGAACAAGCCACAGCCGTACAACCCATTGCCACCCCAGGCAGTGGCCTGCAGCTGCATACTGCTTAGAGGTAAATTGGGTAATTCAAAGGCAGCTGCCTGCACGGTAGGATCTTTACTCTTGGGAGCCACAATAAAGCCTCTCTGACACTAGAGAGCAAAACATCTGAGCTATGCTGGGACAGCCTCGATCCTCATGACCAACAGAGACAGCAGGGAAGGGAAAGAAGAGAGAAGAGGTTTTATGTTGTTCATCAAACTGCTGGGAAGCCAAAAGAAGCTGGGATTAGATAATCTACTGAAGGTCTCAGAAAACAAGTGTTAACCATAGTCCAGAGTTCAGTTAAGACTAGGATCACCTACTACAGGTGACACTGTTATGTTTGTGCTCCTTTCTAAAAGGATGGACCTGCTTCATACATTCCAAGAGGCAGGAATTAGTGAACACAAGTTGCTGTTAAAAAAAAACAACCAACAAACCAAAACAAAATAACCCCCAAAACCCCCCTACACATACCTCCACCAAAATAATAATAACAATTAAAAAAAAAAATTAAAGAGAAGTAATCCCACCCTCTCTCTGGAGAAGCACAGAATAAATTTCAGAATAAACAGTTTCCTCTGAGGAACTGGGCACTACAGTCACAGATCTAGCAGAGACTTTGAACAGAGTTCTCTCAAAGTCACAGAGGTTTATGTCAAAGCTGGAATAAACCCCAGCAGCTCCCCATTGGCGAGGAGCTCCAGACATGTCTGGGTCAGAAGCCTGAACAATGACCCACCCAGGACTGAAGGAAAATGGGCTAGAGGCATTTTCCCAAAATGCTGCTTATCTGTTTTCATTTGACTTACAGTTTACAGCTTTTAGGGGCAAGGAATCCCTGATGATTAGGGACAGCTTGAAAAGCCAAGAGCATTCATAGTTTATTAAAAGCACATTATATTGACAAGAGGAACAGCTTCTATGTATTTGAATTATCTCTTTCAAGTGTGTTTTTTCAGTACCACATCCACCCCTTGCATTTGTCTCTGCAGCATTTACATTTAAAATAATTCAGCAAAATAATAGTGGGAGCCTGATTTACACTCACAGAGCAAATTAATTCAGAGCTAACAACATCATCCCCTCTGCCTCACTGAGCAGAGATTGCTGTGGTTGTGTGCAGCGCCCACAGGAAAGTGCAGTGCAGCTGCTGAAGGAAGTACTTCAGGAGACTGAAGATGATAAACAAGCAAAGGGAGTGTGTAGGGTGGGGAGCCAAACCCAGACTACATTGCCATGTGAAAACGGCCCCTCTACCCTCCTCTTCACCCATCCTGGACTGCTGAACCCTTGTCTCCCTT